CGGCTTCTTGCCGGCTGCGCGACGGGCGTCGTGGTGGCGGAGCGTGCTGGGCGGCCGGTGGCGGCGGATGGTGCGGGTCAACGCAGCTCCGCCAAATCTAGCCGCGTCGCGACGCGGGCTGCGGGCAGCGAGGACTGCGGACGGCGCCGTGGGGTGCGGCGGTGGCTGTCCGTGGCAGTGGTGTGGCCTCGGCTGGTGTCCGGGGCGGTGGTGCGTGCTTGGCGGCGGCGACCCCGTTCAGCACCATTTTGGTCTGGCGGGCGTGTGGGCGTCGGGCGGCGCGGGGGCGGGCTGCGACCTGGTGTGGTCGTGGCCATGACCGTGGCCCACGGCAGCGCGCTAGTTGCTGCTGGCGACGGTGGTGGTGGCAGGTTGATTGCGGCGGCGGCCAGATTTTTCTGCCGTCGGCCCGTCTGTAGGCTGCCTGTATCGGCCTTCGACCCCTCTCCTCGACGTCCGTTCGCTTCTCTCAGCGGAGGGCTGGCCTTCTTCCGGCTGCGGTCCATCATGCGTCTCGCACCCGGTGACGTAGGACCGAGCTGGTCTCGCGCCCGGCAGCAGGACCGGCTCATCTCGCGCCCGGCAGTAGGACTGCGCTCGTCTCGCGCCCGGCAGCAGGACCGGCCCGTCTCGTGCCCGGTGGCAGGACTGCGCTCGTCTCGCGCCCGGTGTAGCAGGATGGCTCGATGGAGGCTTGTTGTGGCCGGCCTATTGGGTCTCGGCGTTGGGACTGGCCAGGGGTGTGAAAGGCGGATCCTTTCCGCCCGTCTCTGCGGTGGAGGTAGCGGTGGGGCTCGGGGGACTTGGTGTCAAGGTCTTGGATTCCGGGGCGGCGGCCCCGGTAGTGGTGGCGCGGTGCTCATGGGCAAAGCTCGTGCCTCGGTGCTGCCCGGCTATCACGGCCGTGTGGGCGGTGTGGTAGCCGGGGTATGGTGTTCGTTGGCGGTGAATGTTGGCCGGGGTAAAAACCTACTCTATCTTTGGACGGACTGGCGATGGCGAATATCGCTCCCTTCTTGAAGG